TTTAATTTTTTTTTTATTTTTTTACCTTTTCAAAACTGAAACGTTGGGCAACAATATATGACAGGTGTTTAAAACACCTGTTATATATTGTTTAGACTTTAAATGATGGATATTTTAAATGCCCATCATTTAAAGTCCAATTTTTTAATTTTTTTTCTTTCAAAAAAATGAAACGTTGAGCTGAGATAAACGACAAAATTTTAAAAAACCATCATTTAAAGTCTAACAACAAATGACAATTATTTAAACACTCGTTATTTATTTTCTGACCATCTCCCACCTCTCTCATATATGATGTGTTTTTATTTAACTGTTATTGTTTATGGCGTCTTATATTTAAATTTTTGTAGTAGTGAAAGTGTACCTAGGAACTAAAGTTCGCTAACAACTTGGTGCAATTGAGGGGTAATGTTGAAAATAGATAATGTAACTACTACTTCTTTGCTCTATATTCATGATCAAATAAGGCTTTAAATTAAACTGTCTTACAATTAGGACTAGAAGAATTGTAGTATTATAGACATGAGAGAGTATATCAAGGTACTGAAATCTAGCCCAATCATTAAACTAGTCATGACTCTAGTTCAAGGGATAATAATGATCAAAACTACAGTTAAACCATGATTAAATCAATAATAAATAAAACATTTTATTAAACTGGTTAAAACACTAGTTTATTGATTCAATTGGGTAAGTTAACTTGGATTTTCATACTATAATATAAATCTCTCTCTCTCTCTCTATACATATATATTAAAGGTGGAGAAAATGTGAAAAGGATAAGGGGAGAGGACCTGTGGTGACATAATTAACGGCTATATTGGTTCCACCTCCCCACCATACACCGTCTCACAACCGTCTCAGTTTATGCCTTCAACGTCATACATCTCTTCTCCTTCATTCAATTTGTGTCTATCTCTTAGTTTTTGACCAACCGAATGTCTGACAATCTATATATGTATATGTATGTGTGTGTGTGTGTATTTCTTTACATTCATATGCTAGCATATATTGTTTCAATTTTGTTGGATGTTCTAGTATGTAGACTTTATACATAATTTATTTTTTTATAACATGAAAGTTAGTAACACTTCTTATCATCTCATTTCATCCAAATCCTTTATTGTTCTTATCAGGAAATTGTGCAATTTCATCCAAATCCTTTATTCTTATAAACAGGAAATTGTGCAATTTTATCCAAATCCTCAAACTGAAGTCATCCATTCAATTCATTAAAAATTACTTAAAATTGGAGACACATATTTCATTCTTATCCTATGAAATTTGGGATATACAGACAATATTATGTGCTTATGATATCAACATATCCTTCCTCACAAAGGAATTCTGGTCGTTTATATATTTGTTGGAATTTTTTTTTAAAATTGTTTCCTTATTCTCTATATTTAATAACAGAGAACTATATATATTACGCCTATAACATTTGGGTAGTCAATTTTTTGAATATATGATATTAGAGATAATTATATTTGGGACCTTGTTGGATATTAAATGTGGATATCCTTTCAGCAGGAATTGGAACATTAATTTATCATGTTATGAGAGAAACTAATTCTTTCAGCTTTATTCAACACCCGTTGGATGATATAATATTTTCTTTTATAACTTATGTGTATCAAAGTTTATTTATTTTTTCCAAGAACGCCTCTAAACTTTTAATAAATTCATGCAAATAGCCCTTGCAACCATATGTTATTTACTATACACTTACAAACTTTAATTTTGTCTTTGTCTGTGTCTGTGTGCAGATAATCATACTAAATTTTGAGTTATGTATTGATAAACCTTTTGTCATTTTATATTCTATCGGTGAAAATAACAAACAAATTAATAATAAAGGAGTTATTTGCATAGATATAAAAATTTAGGGGGATAAGTATTGTAAATTTTTAAAGATAAAAGAGGTTATTTGCACATATAGAAAAGTTTGAAACCTTATGTATATATAGTTTAGCCAAAAAAATTACTAATAATGAAAGCCAAATCAATTAGTGAGTCAACTAAAAAAAAAGCTGAATATCAAGGAAATAAAAATGCAAATATTCTCAAATTTTGATCACACAATTGACAAGCACAATCTTTAAAGCAAAATACAAAACCTCTATACAATTAATTAACACTCTGATCTAACATTCACAATATAGCCGAATTTTTAAAAAAAATTAAATGAGATAATTATCATACACACACACACACATAAAACACCAAGGGCAGAGCTAGGATTTGTAGGCAGGGAAGCCATGACTACAAAGCAAAACAAGTATAGTAATTGGAGAAAAATTTAACAAATAAATTAATATATATATATATATATATATATTATAAATATTTTGACATACCCATATTCAACTTTTGAATATAAGATGAAGTTAATTAACTTAGCATTTATTAAAAAAATTAATTTATAACTTTAAAATTGTAAAAAAAATTAACTTTTCAATTTCACCTTTCTTTGTAGTTAATAATTAACCATAATAAATTAAAATATATGTATCTTCATAGCAAGAAAAGCATTTTTTTTTGTATTTGTGGTAAACTTTTAGCAACATAAACTATTGATAAATCAGTGAAAGAATCATTATCCATCTTGTTGTGAAAATTAGACCCTAAATTTAAAAGAAAACATCACAAGAAGTCCTTAGCATTGAAAAAGGTAAATCTTTTTAGAAGAGCACAACTTTGGATAATCCTAAATTATGCATTAAAAATCATTTAATGATAGATATTTGCAATATTTATAAAAACCTTATTATTCAAAATTTTCTAATCAAGAAAATATTTAATTTAAATTTGAATTGCAATAATATGAGCTTAATTTTTTTAAAGATTTAAATTGCAGAACTGTGATTGAATTATATGTAAAAAATTTGCAAAGGTTGAAAAGTATAATTTTTATCTTTTAGTTAATACATGACTACAAGTTGTGTTGGCTCTTTCAATATGGACAATAATCACTAAACGAGCTTTTTAATTGATGTTAATTTTTCATAAATTTTTTTACAAGGCTGGAATGCATAATATCATTAAATATCGAGTACCATTCATTTTTCAAACTCCATAGCTGGGGGAAAAAAACATGTTGGTTAACTATTCATAAATTTTAAATGCAAGTATTGTAACCTCATATATTACACCCACAATGATCTTAGCTTATACAATATAACAAATTCATGTAGTTATAGCTTGCCAACTTTTAGTTAACTATGCCATTAATTTTGAAAGTTAACTTAAAGTCACTAATATGGAAAACGCGTACAACTAAAGTAATAAGCCATGAGAGATAGGGGAGGGTTGACCTATGTATAATTACAATTTTACACTCATCAGATAAACGTTTCTTTTTTCTTTTTTTCCTTTTTATAAAATGTCAAATATTATAAATAGTAAAAGAATACCAAATGCACAATAAAAAGTTATAAATATAAATTCAAAACATTACAACACATCCAAGAAGAAAAACTAAAAGTAGGGAAGAAAAGAGCTTCTTTGGAACTACTTCTACATATAGCTACAATGATAATACTCATTCCATTTAGTGTTATAAGGAATTTTTAACTGATTTACATTTTTCAATAAGTTAATCAATAATATTTTAAATTATACATTCTTTTATATTACTCTTATTTAAAAGGTTTTTTAATTTAAATTTTTTATTAATTATATCCATAATTAAATATTTTTTTTAAAAAATCAGATTTAAAATGGTTTATATTTTTAAATATAATAATACTGAAATGATGGGGTGTATGATATCTAATCGCATTTAAATTTATATCGAATCGCTAAATGCTCAAACCGATGCATTAGCTTGTATTGTATATTTAATATTATTTAACCAGTTTTCTTAGAGCACGTGAGAGAGCCTGAGAGAAACCGGTTAAGATGCATGCACTTATTCATGTAAAAGCAGCAAGTTGAAATTCATGAACATATCAGAAAAACATGATCAATTTAAAATATTATTATTTTTAAATTACTAAGGCATGAAAAAAAAATAAGAAAAAACATAAAACAATGAGAACAAATTTATGACGATAGAAAATAATAACTGTTGTGAGTAACAAAAGCTGTTTTGTCCTTTAAGCAAGTCTTGAAGTTTCGATTTTCAATTTTTGTGGATGTAGCAAATCTAGTTGAGATGTATTTACCTTTTATTAGAGTTAATAATTAAGGTTAAGTTCGGCAGACTTGTTCAAATAAAATTTTAAAATTTTAAAATCAGGTTTAGAAAAATTGTTCTTTTTTATAGTCAGATTTAGTCTAAATAAACTTGAAAAATTTAAGCCAAACTGTGATCGGGATTGGATCCATATTTAATATTGATTAAACTTAAGACTTAGTCCATTCCATATTATTATATTCCTATCATTTTCAATATGTGAAATTTCTTAAAATAATCTTGAAAATGCATCTTAATTTTCATTTTTTAAACTTTAAGACTCAAATTTTAACTATTAAGTCTGGCCCAAATAAACCTTAAAATCCAAGTTATTAGGGCAAGTCTTAACTGTGAAAGTTTTTTTGTTTATTTATATGTCCAAACAAACTCCAGTCGACCCGAATAAATATGGTTTACATTTAACCTCACTCGCCCTATTTAATGGCTTTATTATCTCTTTGCCTTTTATACCATGAGAGAAGGGTTTATCAATGGCCTTTTGTACATCTTATAAAGATTAAACCTTTACTGTCAGTAGACAATACTTCTAAAGCAATAAGAATATTTAAAAAAATTATTTTTTCTTAAAATAATAGAAAGAAAGAAAATAAGAAAACATCATATTAATAAAAATAAAAATAAAAATAAAAACTGTTAAATGTCTGGATAGACATGATACCTAGCTAGCTCCAGCTAACGCCTAACAAGTCCATCCTTTGTGGACAAAGCAAACAATATAATCACATTGCCTTCCAAAAATTTCTCTATAAATATCCTTCCTTTACATACTTTTCCCTTCCACTCACAGCTGCTTCTTCACCTCTGTGTCACTGTCTCTCTCTTCCAACACCACAAAACCCACCTAGCTCCCAAGCTTTTTCCTCCTCCTTCTCCTTCTTCTTCCATTGCTATTATAAGCTTGGGCTGTTGGGTTTCCTTACCTCATTCATTTATCATACATACATCAGTAAATCATCAGAAACAGCTTATCATGGCTCTTCATGTTTCAGCAACAAGTCTTCTGTACTGCTTCTTGTTTCTTCTGATCAACACTTCATCTTCGTCTCGTCTTCTAAAAAGTAGGTACAGAGATGTATCTTCGGCACACCACCACAAGCTGCCTAGTAGAAGGCAGCTTGTGGAAAATGGCCTAGGACGAACTCCTCCTATGGGGTAAGCCAAAATTTTGCCCCTCTTTTCATTTTCGTCTCTGATTTGATTTCCATGTTCTAATTTAGTTTTAGTGATAATTAGTAGTCTGTGAATTTTAATGATACTGATTATTTAATCTTGAAGAAACATTAGGGGGTGTAGTGGAGTGGTGACACGTGTTGTCTTAATATATATATATATATATATATTGCATGGCAGGTTCATACAGTGGCATTTATAAAAGCTTTTCAAAGAAGTTCTATAAATTGAGCAATCTTGTTTCGTTTTTTGAATTTGGATTTTCACCGACGTCTTCTTTTTTTGTTTCAAAATTAACTTTATTGATGAATAATGGGACACTTGTCTCTTATATTGCAATATTTAACCACCGAAATTTCTTATTACAAGCAAAGCTTTTTATATACGTGTTTGTACGTTTTTGCTAAATTAATCCACTCATTGAAAATTACGTATAATTGTATATGGGCAGGTCATTTGACTTTAATTAGATTATTTGCCAAATCTATTATGATTTATGGCAGTTACTGGATTCAACTCGGAACCAGTCCTGCTCTTATTTTATTATCAAACTCAGTTTTTTCTGAACTATTTTATCAAATTTAATTAAACTTTGGTAAATTATTTTTTATTTTTATAATAAGTTCGATTGATGTTTTTTATTAGGGGATGAACTTTGAGTGTTGCATATATTTATTTTTCTCTTATGCTCAAATATGATACTATTAGGAATTTGTTTCAAGCATGTGAAAGATTGATGATATGCATATAACAAACAATGAATTAATTAATTAATATGGTTTCAGATGGAATAGCTGGAACCACTTCCAGTGTGACATTAATGAAGAGATGGTCCGAGAAACAGGTAATTAATTTTGCAACATACATATTTACTTATAAAAGAATTTTTCGAAGTTTAGAAAAAAATTTATTTAGTAGGAATTTATTGATATGTTTTTTGAATTACAGCTGATGCCATGGTGTCAACGGGTCTTGCGGATTTAGGGTACAAATATATCAATTTAGGTATGATAATGTAATTTGATAAATAATTAATTATTTAATTACGTTTTCTCTTTTACATAAAAAACAATTCTAATTGTTTTTTAATTTCAGATGATTGTTGGGCCGAACTAAATCGAGACTCTGATGTAGGCATACACACACACACACACGCATTGGCTTTTTTGTTATTTTTATTTTGAATTGTATTCATTATTTCCATTTGTTTGTTTATTTGTTGAAAATCTAAAATAAATATCCAAACTATGACAGGGAAATATGGCTCCTAAAGCTTCAAAATTTCCATCAGGAATTAAGGCTGTGGCTGATTATGTTCACAGCAAAGGATTGAAGTTTGGGATTTATTCTGATGCTGGGTATATCCACATTTTAATTACAATTCTATGACTTTGATCATTAATTATCATTAAATATTCATGGTACATATATGCACGCATGTTTTCTGCAGAGTTCAAACGTGCAGTAAGCAAATGCCTGGATCACTAGGACATGAAGAGCAAGATGCGATAACATTTGCTTCCTGGGTACATAGACACACGCGCGTATATATATATATTTACATTTATTTCAAACTCATTTGCCACTTGTGCAAAACTTGGTATCAAATTCTGACTATCTATGCTTTTTAAAATATTATTCAGGGTGTTGATTTCTTGAAGTATGATAATTGTGAGAATCTTAATATAAGGCCTTCAGAGAGGTAATCGCTAGCCTACAAGTCTCTAGCTGCTAATTATATCTAAAACTAAAAGTCAGAGATTGATATATTTAATTGTAACAAACATATATAAATATCCTGCAGGTACCCAAAAATGTCTGAAGCTTTATTAAATTCTGGAAGGCCAATTTTCTTTTCCATGTGTGAATGGTGAGTTTTTGCTCATATGCTCGTATATTGCTAATGAAGTAGTTATGTCTTTTTGCTAATTACCAGGTTTAGTGCATTTATCTTAATTAAAGACGTATTAAGAGCTAAATTGTTGATCATTACAGGGGACAAGAAGATCCAGCACTTTGGGCAAAAAGTGTAGCCAATAGTTGGAGAACAACAGGAGATATTGAAGATAAGTGGGAGAGGTATGGTATAGTATATAATCAACCTTAATATGAATATTTAATTATTGCCTGATTCATCGGATAAGGCTTGCTGTTATTGTTGTTGTTGTAGTAGTAGTAGTTGATTAGCATTAATGGATGGATTTATCGCAATATGATGAATTATATTACTTTCTTGTCAGTATTACAAGCATTGCAGATCAAAATGACAAATGGGCATCTTATGCAGGACCTGGAGGATGGAATGGTAATTAGCTTCCCTAGTAGTTAATAGTTAATTATCTCTTTTGTTAAATCATTAAGAGGAACCAATTGAGAATTGACATCGTCAAATTGTGAGAACAGATCCAGATATGCTGGAAGTTGGAAATGGAGGCATGACCACTGAAGAATATCGTTCTCATTACAGCATTTGGGCATTAGCTAAGGTACGTACCACGATAAAAAAGAAAAACAAAACATTACTTGACAATTAGATTCTTAACCGGCCTTGTGCTTCACACGATGTCTGAAGTAAGCCTCATTATTATTTGCTTATGAACAGTTCAGCCTCATATAGACTTTGTGTTTTTATTTGTACAAACGTTGTTATTTATGCGTGTTGTGTGTGTGCAGGCTCCTTTGCTTATTGGTTGTGACGTTCGGGCAATGGATAAGACAACATTCGAATTACTATCTAACAAGGAAGTTATTGCTGTCAACCAAGGCATGACACCATAACAACCACCTCTTCTACACTTATCAATTTCCTCATGTGTGTGAGTCTATATATATATATATATATGTTGTGATCTTGCAGACAGTCTAGGAGTTCAAGGAAGAAAGGTGAAAAGTGATGCTGGTTTGGAGGTAGCATCTTATTCCCCACTGCGACTATAAATAATAGTTAAATAATATATATGCTGGACGCATAAAGTTTTAATAACCCTATTGTACGTGATCTTTATGGCTGTAAACAAATGTACAACTTTCTCAAAGATGACTTGTTAATCGAGGAAGGAAAATTTTGGCAGGTATGGGCTGGTCCTCTAAGTGAAAATAGAGTTGCAGTGGTTCTGTGGAACAGAAGTTCCTCAAAAGCAACTGTGACAGCATCGTGGTCTGATCTAGGCTTGGAACAAGAAAAAGTTGTAGATGCACGAGATCTTTGGGAGGTGAGAGCGCACACACACATATATATATATAGTTCACGTTATAATCATTTCTATTATAAATATTTACTTGTTGCAGCACTCAACACAACCATCAGTTTCGGGACATATTTCTGCTGATTTGGATTCACATGCTTGCAAGATGTATGTTCTTACTCCCCGTTAAGCTTCAAATTTTCAAGGTCGATCAAAGAAGAAGAAGATGACGATAATGATGCACGAGAGTTAGATACCATATTCAAGGATTCCTAGGTAACAGAAGATAGCTAGGCTGGGAATTTATTTTACAATAAGAAATATACATATAAATACATACATACATACATATATATAGAAATACTTGAATAAGACTCAAGTTATCAAAGGTTTCTGATATTATTATTTTGTATTATTGAAGCATTGAAGTATGTCTGTTGATCAGTTCAATGCAATGATAATGGTTCCAACTGTTTCTCTATTTTTGGGTATTGCAGTATTAAATTATACTATTGTTCAATTTGCTTACGGATAATTTTTCTATCCATCTGGTTTAAATTAGTTTGGAATGTTTAATTATCTAGAACTAATTAGAAGTTTACGTTCGTACGTGCACTTCTAATCCTAAAAGGAAACAAAGAAACTAACACATCTACATAGTCACATCCAAACAAAGAAAGAATCACCAAACTATCACTCAAACTTTTCCTCTCTTGACTCAACTTAAGCACCGGTTATGAAAAATACATCAGTAATTTAAACTTGAATGAAGCTGATGACTCCGAAATAGCTACGAAAAACACACGAATTAATGCAAAATACGGTGACTTATCAGATATCTTGATTTATTGTATCTTTTTTATCCTAGAAATTAACCAGCTTTATAGGACCGATTAAGCCGCAGAAACCAAACCGATAGACTGGCTTGAGAGCGATACTTGTAGAATTCCGATGAACTATCGAGGCAAGGATTAAGCTAAAATAACTAAAATATAGGGAGAAAAAAATTGAAGAATAAGTTTTCTTACGTTGTCGGGATAAATCTGTTGAAACTCCTTCGCGAGGTGCAAGATGATGATTCGCTCTTGTGAATAAGCTAAGAAGTCCATCGTCCGTTGCTTGATGGCGGCGCTGATAAGCATGCTCCATTTTCTCTTCCCTCTCCCTTTCGTCTTCAAATCCCTAATGTTTATGTAAAATTTCAAAATATACAGCAGAAGTATCTTTTTATTATTTTTTTGATGAACCCCCTATTTGAAATTATTAACATGTCACCAAAATAATTTTTAAAAATAACCGATTTGATTTGATCAACATCTATTGTACTGTTATAAATGTATTAATTATCAAAAACTGCAAATTTAATTCATTTCATTTTTGAAAAGTTCATTATTTTCACATTAAGTAAACATATATTTAGTAATATGATATAATAATTTAATCAGAATGAATATGCTTAGGTACTATTTTTTTTTTTACTGCAAAAAGGGGTCATTTTAGGATATATATTAAGTTTAGTAGGGAAGAAATTAAGTTGTTTCCAGTTAACACAAATTTAAACAGATAAAGAACTAATTCAAGGATCATATAACAACTAATTATGGATGGTAATGAAAGTTTAGTGACTTGATTAATAAAGATTAAATGTTAAGAAATTGCAAGATCATTAATTAAGACAAATTTAATTTGACGGATGAGCTCACTGTACTTTCTACATATCAAATTAGAGGATATTTTTGGATAAAATTTTACAAATCAATAAAAATTATTAAATACATTTAGCAATTTTATTTTTTTAAAAAAATATAAACTTTAAAAGATAGAAGGACAAAAATTAAATAGAGAGAGAAATGATAATATTGAAATAAGCATAGTTAATGAAATCTTAATATTTTTAAAGCCTTTTAATTTTTGGGATGCCAAATTTTTCATAAAAGTGTTTTATAATTTGAGAACAAAAGGAATATATTTTAATAATAAAGGCCGAAAATTTCCTATTTCAAAATAAGAAGGATTTTTAAATTGAATCAAGTCTTAGCTTCCTATTTTCATAACTAAGCTGATGATCGATTCCGATTTCCATTAGGATATATTTCTTCAGTAATCAGTACATAAATACACACAGTGAAATCCTCCTATATTGCAACTTAATTACTTTAATTTTCCTTCGAGTTATATCAACCATGTCGACGACGTCGGAGCAGCAGCAAGATGATGATGCAGAAACTCAAGAGAAGCTGACAACGGAAGAATCAGAGATACTGAAAGATACCGATAAGGTTATGGATGAGAAGACGATCAATGAACTGTGTAAAACTCCAACAAGGCCAGAAAACCAGATACATCTTCGAGGCTGTCCACATGCACCCAGGACAGTAAGAAAAGACCAACTCGTTCTCCAACTTTGTCGTTGCACTCAATTAAGAGGTCCTTGATTACTGGCTCAGTATGATTAACTATCTCTGAACAGAAACGTATCAAAGTTTTGATCTTTCTGGTAATTATAATGCTTTCAGCTAGCTAGCGGTTTTGTGAAAGATATTATATTTTGTGTATTTCTTATCGGTTCCATGCATGTTATTTCTTTTAGTATTTTCGTGCTTCTACATGGTTGTTCCCTTATGTCATGTCTTGGGTTGAGTATGTTATTGATGTTGGTAATTAGTTGTGTTACAGTTTAGAGATTGTTTATTAAGAAATCTGCTGAGCTATATATGTGTATATATATATTACTCGTTTTCATCTACACGTCATTTTTTTTATTTTCTTTCATGAGACGACATGATCGATACACAATACGTTCGAGGTTATATATATATATATATATATATATAACCTCTTTTATTTTATATATATATAATTTTAGTTGGTAACTGATTCTGCAATTTGAGCCACTATTGTTGACTCTTTGATTCATGTTTTGGACTTCCTTCAAGTATCATTTTGTCTTTATATGTTTGGTACATTTTTTTTAAAAGAAATATATTTAGAAAAAAAATGAGACAAGTGTATTTATTATTTCTTTTTATGTATAAAAAATATTTTTCTACAAACTAAACATTGTAGAAATGCACACTGCAATCCGATCAACTATTTTTTTAAGACACTAGAATGATTCACTAAAATAATTATGAAATATCTCATTTTCGTCTAGAGATCAGAAATAAGGTTTTGCCCTTGTAGTTTTGAGCTAAAGATTGCAAAATAAGAAGCAGAATTACGTGGTAGGTGATGTTGTTTATCCTGATTCATTATAACATGCATGTTCCCAAAATCAAAATATATATGATAAGTTATGCATAATATTTCGAGAATAACATTATATAGTACTCTAGCTTTTTCATTAAAAGAAAGATATATTTTTGTGAAAAAACAATAATATACAATAATATCATGAACAACATGATCTATGTTTAATTTAATTGAAACATATATTTGTTGACATTTTCCTACTAATTGTCATATATTATTTTTTAGAAAAATCATAATTGACTTATATATTATTTTTAGATAAAAGTACATTTTTTCTTCTTTAATTTTACATTAAATTTTAATTTAAACCTGTAATATCATTAGGCTTTTTCTTAATCTCTTATTCTTTTATTCCTATTTATAAATCACTTCTAATATGTTTTATTAGAATAAAAAACCTTAAAATTCATTTATTTTGTCTAAAAATTTAATAAATTCTCAACTTTATTTCTATTAAATATATATACTTCAACAACCTATTTTCTTTCTCCAACATTTAAATGGGGGATAAAAATTTCTCTCTTTCTACCTTATAAATAGTATGAAATAGCAGTTTGAAAATTATTTTTACTTAAAAAAACTCATAGATAAAAATTAATTTATTTAAAATGAATTTAGTTTTCTCGTGCCAACAAAAAAAATAGAAAACTATAACATTTTTTCAACTATTGGATTTCTTCGTTGGCAAAAGAAAAAAAACTATTGGATTTTTTTCATGGTTAAATGATAAATTTATTCCTAAACTATAGGTTCAGGCATTCAGTAGCATTTGAAATCTTAAATTTATTTTTGATAAATGTTCCCCCTTGACATTTTAAAACAATGGAATCTTGCCCCTATTGTTAATAAATGTCAATTTTGACCATTTGTTGAAAAAAAAAACTACAAAAAAGAAGTTCAAAAATTACAAAAAAGAATTAAAAAATTACAGGCAATGAATCCAAAATATTATATAAAAGAATCTTTTATAAAAAAATTTTAGGTTCTTTTTGATAATTTTTTAATCAACTAATAATTAAAGTTAACTTTTATTAATGTATGATAGAGGCAACATTATACCATTTTTAAAAGTTAAAGAGAAATATTGCATAAAAAAATAAATTTAAAATCCAAGACACACTTTCACACTTATAATTTAAGGATGAACTTGCCCTTCAACCTTTCTTTAATTAGAAGAAAAAACTCAGGACGATTATGCATTTATGCTGAATCTAGTTCCACCTCAATCCGCAATTTAATCAATTTTTATACTATGAAAGTATACTCTTCCTTCCCCTATCCGAAAATTCAGGGAGAAAGTACATCACGTCTTTGATTCTATTTCAACCAAATCCTCCAACTTGAGTTTTCCTTTAAATTCGGAAAAGAATTAAAAATTGGACAAATATTGTGCAGACATCATATCATTCATATCGATTGTATTTCCTCCAAAATGATTTCATGTTTTTTTTTGTTGGAATACATATTAAATTTTATTTTTTCTTGATCGACAAGTTGTTGCGTATAAATAAGATACGGAGGGTGCCCTGCTTGAGAAATCAAAGTTGAGTTGTACTATTTACAATTTATAAAAAATTTCTCTTTATAAATTATATACATATTAAATTTATATTTGTCAAGACAGAAATTAATAATATTATTGATTTACATAACAGAAATAAACATTAAATATTCTCGATATATATATGTTCTGTTATATTGGATTTCAAAATATGCAAAAGTCTTTCTAAACCCATATGTTTATAGTTAGCATCTCTAAGTCAACACACAATCAAATTGGTGGTCATATTACAAGTGACATCAGTGAATTGCAAGTTTTATGAATCATTACGAGTTTCTACCTAAAAAAGGCTAACAAACGCAACTGATTCGTTTTTTTTTTTTTGAACAGGTTATGAAAGCAGCAAGTTGATGTTCAATTTAAAGTATGTTTTCTTAATAAAAAAAGGAGGAAAAAAGAAAAAGAGAGAAAGAACAGAGAAGAGAAGAGAAGAGAAGAGAAGAGTGTACATGCATGTGTATGTTGAATACATAGAAATGATTACGTAGGTCGACATGAACTATCTAACTAATTCGCCCATCCTTTGGGAAAAGCCATACAATCTTCTCTTTTGAAAACCCCTCTATAAATATCCCTCGAATCCTTTCTTTTATTCATCATTCACATCATATCTTGTTTCTAAACCTTACTCTCAATCTTTCTTCTTCTTCTTCTTCTTCTTCGTGAAGTACTACTTTGATTCTCTTGGACACAAATGGCACTTCAAGATTCTGCAACAAGAATGGTCACAGGGCTTGCCTTGTGCTTCATGTTTCTGCTATTCAATGCTTCTTCTTCATGTGCTGCTCGTTTCTTGAACACTAACATAGACACGCCAATCCAACATCACAAGCTCAGAAGACAGCTTGTTGAAAATGGTCTTGGTCGTACTCCTCCTATGGGGTAAGTTAATATTCATGCCCTAAACTCTTTCTTGTATTTGTAGCTAGTAAAGCACATGTTTATGAGTCATAAACAATGTAACTCGTTTTGGAAACACCATGTAATGCACGAGATACACATACCATTTGTGCTCATGACTATCAAATGTTAGAAATTTGTCTGATTCATCAAAGGATCGTGTATATATAATGCATTATTTGTGTTAGGTGGAATAGTTGGAACCATTTTCAGTGTGACCTTAATGAGGAGATGATTCGAGAAACAGGTAATTTTTTTCATATAAATACGTTACCAGAGATTAAAAAGAAATTATATTTCCTAGTCTTTAATGTGAATCTTACAAATAATTTTTTTTTTGAATTACAGCTGATGCAATGATATCAACTGGCCTTGCTGCTTTAGGGTACCAATATATTAATTTAGGTAAGTATATATAATTTTCTTATCACCAATTTATTCACTTTTCCGCATACAAATTTTCTGCAGACAAATTATTTTTCATTTTTAAGAATTAAATATTATTTGAACTTAATGTTAGATGACTGCTGGGCTGAACTTGATCGAGATTCTGAGGTATAGAAACTCCCTAGTACTCCTTTTTTTTCCTTTTCTTTTCACTTGAACTTAATATCTAGTTGAGCTAGTTATTTCATCATCTGATGAAAACTTAAATTGAAAACCAAATTTGTGGCAGGGAAATATGGTTCCGAAAGCTTCAAAATTTCCCTCAGGAATTAAGGCTCTGGCTGATTATGTACACAACAAAGGATTGAAGCTTGGGATTTATTCCGATGCTGGGTATCCAAATCTTAACCCTAACGCTTTGATTCATGTACAAAAAGTTCATCATCAATATTTTATATTGAAGTATTAATGATCTTTTGAATGATTTTTTCTGCAGAAATCAAACTTGCAGTAAGCAAATGCCTGGATCACTAGGACATGAAGAACAAGATGCAAAAACATTTGCTTCCTGGGTATACAAACGCCTACTAAAATATACATTTACTTCTAACTCATCTAGTGCACTAACGACGAAATTCTGACAATCTCATATTTAAAAATATGTCCCAGGGTATTGATTTCTTGAAGTATGATAACTGTGAGAACCTTAATATAAGCCCAAAAGAAAGGTATTTGTATCCTTCAAGTGATTTCTCTACTAGTAATCTAAAAATTAAAGACTGATAATACAACATACTGCTTATTGCATGAACACACAAACAGGTACCCTAAAATGTCTGAAGCATTATTGAACTCTGGAAGGCCAATCTTCTTCTCCATGTGTGAATGGTCAGTCCTCTCACTGGTTATTTTTCTGTCACATGGTATCTTATGCTTGCTTATGTTACTAATGGAGTCATATCCTTCTGTTCAAGGAGCTTAAATGTGCATTTTTATATGATGAGCTGGTTTATAAATTTACAGGGGGCAAGAAGACCCAGAACTTTGGGCCAAAAACGTAGGAAATAGTTGGAGAACAACAGGAGATATTGAAGATAAATGGGAAAGGTATGGAATGAACATTAAGAAATGATTACATATATCCATAAACATATATACATGTTACTAGAATTAATTAATAAAATAGCTCTCTTTGTATTCATGGATTATACTAATGATATGAATTACTCTGTTTCCAGCATGACAAATATTGCAGATGCAAATGACAGATGGGCTTCTTATGCTGGACCTGGAGGATGGAATGGTAATTAATTAACTTCACTTGTTGAGATATTACTTAGTTAAATAATTAATAAAAATTATATAATTAAGAGCTGGCATTCTCAAAATGTGAGAACAGATCCAGATATGCTTGAAGTTGGAAATGGAGGAATGACCACTGAAGAATATCGTTCCCATTACAGCATTTGGGCATTGGCTAAGGTACGTACCATGAGAAAACAAAAAAAGAACATTTACTCTCCCTTACCATATATATATATGGCAGTAAATTAATTAAGGAAGATGTGGTATATGCATATAAACAGGCTCCTTTGTTAATTGGTTGTGATGTTCGAGCAATGGATAACACAACATTCGAGCTACTAACAAACAAAGAAGTTATTGCTGTCAACCAAGGTATGATGCATATGTATAACAAACCGTCCCTCTTCTACATACCTTTGTTTGTCAAAAATGATGATGATGAATCTCTAACTTCTGCTAGAAATCTTCTTGTGATATTGCAGACAGCTTGGGAGTTCAGGGAAAGAAGGTGAAAAGTGAAGATGGTTTAGAAGTAGTATCTTCTTTCTCACTTTTTCTTCCTTTAGTCAGTAATTAATTTATGAAGTATATATATGTATACGGCCTCTTTAAATGGAGCCACATATCTTAAGTTATATATGTAGGCACTTTAAATTATCAATTTTTTATTTTTTGAGGGTGCAAAGTGTTAGCTTTCTGGAAGATAAATTATTGAAAAATAAAAAATGTGACAGGTTTGGGCAGGTCCTCTCAGTGATAACCGAGTGGCAGTAATTTTGTGGAACAGAAGTTCATCAAAAGCAAATGTGACTGCATCTTGGTCTGATGTTGGATTAGAATCAGAAAAAGTTGTAGATGCTCGAGATTTATGGGAGGTGAGATATTGTATATATAGTTCAAAAGTTAATTATTATCATTATTACTATTACTATTATTTTAGTTCAAAGACTCAAGTTATACTAATTAAAGAACTTCTCTTATGTTTCTATGAATTATTCAGCATTCTACGCAAGCTTCAGTTTCGGGACAAATTTCTGCTGAACTTGATTCACATGCTTGCAAGATGTTTGTTTTCACTCCCAATTAGGCATCAAATTTTCGAACAAGACGAGGAAGCGGATGCATAAGTTAGCTAACATTCAAGGATTCGAGCAGAAGAAAAATAATATGTGGCTTATTCTACAATAAAACTATTTATAGACATAATTGAATAAGACATAGATTTATCAAAATGTTTATGATACTATTTGTATTGTCCAACCATTGAGTTGTATCGGTTTTATACCATAAAATAATATAATGAAAATGATTTCAAATGCTTCCCTATTATTCAATTTACATGATACTCTATAAAACTGTGGATGAATTTGTGTATATATTTTTATGGCTCATGTGTGACTGTGAAAGAGAGAAATAGAAACAGCCAAGAGAATTCCTCATGTGTCCAGAGTGTAATTAGTTTCGTAGTTAGAGGTTGTGACACTTAGTTACAACTAATCATAACTACCTCAACATTCCTAAAAATGTTAATCGTGGACTTGGTTTTAAAACCATTGACTTATGTTTTCCTAAACGAAAAAAACTAAAACCATTGACTTATTCAACAAGGCTTTAATAGACTTGGAGTTTATTCATATATTGTGAACAATTCTTACAAAAATTCAAATGTCAGTCTACAAAAGGATGGGTAAATGGGAATAAGATTTTAAAAATAAATATTTGATAAGTTTGTGTACCCTAACTTTTGGCTTCGTGATAGGTTTATGTAAGCTTAAAAAAAAATGACAAGTAGAAGTATCTGTACATAAGGCAAGTTATAGGAGAGATATTTTATCCCATTTTAAATTACTAATATGTCACCAAAACAGTTTTAAAAATAACAATGATTTCATTTGACAATAATCATTTCTTTTATTTTTATTCATATTTATTAAATTTAACCTATTTCACAGAGAAGTTCATACTTTTCAAGTTAATTAATCATATATTTAGTACTATTATATAGTGCCTTGATCAAAATAAGTATGCTTAGATCATCTTACTTTTTTAATGCATTAAACAAGTTATTTTATAGCGCGCGCACTATATATATACATAGAGTTTTGATAAGGAAAAGAGTGTTGTATGCAAAATTAACGTAACTTAACGTGTAAACTGAAAGTCTGAAACAGATAAAATGACTCATCAAAAAAAGATAAAATGAATCGGTATATATTAATTATATGAAGTGTTGTTATAAGTTTTGTTGGGCCAAAATTGTTATAAGTTTTATACTATACAAATAATAATTGTTCATAAAACTTCAAATATTATAAAAGTTGTCTTTCTGAATAAATTTTGCATAAATTTCTATTTCAGAATATAACAAATTTTTACATTAAAGTATCAATAAAATTATTTAAAATTATAATATAATTTTTGGGCTTAAGGAAAATTTGTATATATTTTAGAAATAATAAATATATGTTATCATCATACATATAGATCTTTACTAGAAACAATTTCAAATAAAGTTTTGATATTTCCGTTAATTAATCATGCTAGCTTTTAGCTGCTTATGACGGACATCCTTTGTGTGTTTCTTTTCCATTCCATGTTATTTCTTCGTACTTTTCAGGTTCTATATATTGTGAAGTATATTCTACTCCGCTAATTAAACAATCGAAGGATGAACAGAGTGAAAAGTTTAGCATCTGAGATATTGTGTCTGTGTGTATTACATTGTCAACTGAGTCTGCAGTATGAGCCAATATTGTTGTCACTTTTTGAAAAAATGAACAGTTGGTGGATGTATTTTGGTTGCATTTTGTTCTTAGTTTCTACAGATTTTTATATATCGTTGTTCTTTATCTTCTTAATTTATATTATCTGCAAGATTAGTTCCTATTATTTTAAAAATGCACATAAGGACTTTGAGTGGATACCAGCAAAGTAATAGGGATGCAAAAGTGAAATCATGCTAGTTATGAATGGAATCCTGCAAAGCAAACACAAGAAACAAAAAGGAAAGAGACAAAATATGGAGGAAAAAGAATAAAGGAAGAAAACAAAGTAGCAAAGGAAAGATACAGATTAAGGAAAAGATTCTCTAAAAATCACATGCCTTTAGCAATCTTAACTTTACCACAAGAGTTAGTCAAGTTCTTGACCATGTCTATACTTATCATGAAACGCCACCATAAATATTAAGACTCACAAGAGTTATAAACTCTATCAATAAAAATAATCTTATTATTCAAATTTAACTTAAGTTACAAAATAGAAATCCACACCTATATATAGGCAACTCAAGAAGGCTCAAAAACCCTAATTCAAAAATCCTAATTTGGATGAAAATAATAATAAAATAATAAAATTCAGCCACATAATCTAAGGATTGTATCTCCTAAAATCATAGGATTACATTATTAGATAAAATCCTAATCTAGAAATAGGAAACAAAACTTAAATAAAATATTAAACTAATATCTAAATTATTAAGCTAATTAATTTGGAGCAATCAAGGGATGTGTCACCGTCCATGCAATCATTCATGTGATCTTTTTATGTTTTGGCCCACTAGTTGATTGTTGGCTTTTTGGCCTTATTTCAGCATTTTTGCATTGTAAGCCTCCTAGCCTTGTTGGACTCATTGGACATGCGGGACCCATACTCGATCATTCCTTTCCTCTTTGGAAAGATTCATCCTCAAATCTATACTTTATAAATTTTTTTTAATGTGCTTTGAATAAAAAATATTTTCTTTCTCACATGTACCCAAATATAAATAACAAATTTAATCCCTTAATTACCATTAAAATATTTCTCGATACTACTTGAAGAAGATAAATGCCCAATGATTCTTGAGGACAAAAATTCAATTGATGGCTCCTTAAAGTAGGATTCTCAAAAAACTTGCAACTTACTAGAAACGATAAGGAATGATTAAAATGGTTAACAATCAAAGATCCTTACAATCACTCTCAACCTCACTTTTATCACAATTCTTTTGATGATTCTTTTCTCTCTTTCCTTTTTGTACACTCAACTCAACGTTCTCATTTTTATTCTCAATATTTTCAATCTCATTTTTGAGTCTTGAGTTCTATAGCCAACCAAACAACAGCTAGAGAAATCAAGTTGTTCTTTAAAACCATAAATGATGGCATTTGAGCTGATTTGGAAGACCACCAAGAGCCAAGGACGTCTCTTCTTCAAGAAGGAGAGAATGATGAGAGCATAGGTGGTGTTGAATGTGGCATTCAACAAGGCTTTCAAGGTGGTATCCATGATGACATCAAGAGTGGCAGAGTCAAGAAGTTAAAGATGATGTTTGGGCTATTAGAATTCATTTAGTTTAATTTAGTCAAGATTTTTCATTTTTATTGAATTTTCATATTTAATTTTCAAGTATTTTATTTATTTATTATTTTTAAAGTTTAATAGCCTATTGTGGGCTTTTGGACTTAAGTTATCCATTAGGGTTTTCATATTAGGGTTTTTAGGGAGTCCTAGTTGAGTTATGAGTCTTTATATTTCTTCAAATACTACTCATGCAGACAGCATAAGGAGAGCATATAGAATAAAAAAGTTATATCTTTTTTTAACAAGCTTTGCTTGTTTATTGGTGTTCAAGGTTGAATACCATGTGGTTTTTTGAGTAATCATGGCGTTGAGAGTTCTTTGTTTGAAAGATCTTAGGCATGGTTCCAACTCTTCATTGGGTATTTCAATTAGTGTGTTCTTCATAAGATAACACATTGTAGGATTCAATTTATTGTGTGAGCTTCTGTATCACAAAGTTAATTTTATTGACATATACTTAACTCTATTAACTCTTAATTAATTGTGAGGGATAACTCTACCAAAGGTACTATGCTCACTTTCAAATCATGGATTCCTCCATCTTGAATTTTAGGATGTCGTGAGTCCTACACTCACTCCAAGGTGATTATGAGGAGTCACAAACACTAGGGCTACCCATGATACCGATAGTGACCACATGGATAATAATCATTAATCTCCCCTCACCCATCACTATGATCATGCCACATAGTCAATGCTCCTGTTAGAAACAATTTTCAATATCACATTTCCAAATCACAACGTTGAGTTAAGACAACCATTATCATCGTTACTCATAGCATATTCACAAGTTAATCCCACTTGCATATAATTTTCCAAAACACATAACATTTCATAGTTATATCAAAATACATTTCTAATTTCACAAAAGCTACAAATTAATCAAACAAAAGAAAATACAAGAAATATATAGTTTTCCCTAACTACCTCAAATCTTTAATTACCAAAAATTTACTCTTCAAATGATTTTCTTCCTCGAACTCAAATGGTGCATAACACTGTCAATATTTATAAAAGCTAGTGAAACATTTATGACGCTTTCTTTCTTTCTTTTTTTTCTAAAAAAAAGAAACAATCATATCTCTTTCACTTTTGGCTTAAATAATGGCCTTTCTACCGCCTCCTTCATCTTTTCAATAAATTACACCAATCAAAGGGTAAATTTAAAAAATGTGTAGTACAATTTTTTTTAACATTTAACTAATTTTAATTATTTTTTAAAAATGTCATTAAAGCAATTAATAATTAATAATACCTTATAAAAAATGTTAGAATATCTTATTTCAGTAAAATCATATATATTTGAAATTTTTTGAATTGATTTGTTACATTATTTTTAGTGAAAAAATTATATACTTAATGCGTGTTTGGTTTCACGATGAAAGTCTATATAATCTCGTTTATTCCATTATAAGTGATTATGAAGCCTATTTGCGCTGCTTGAATAATATTTTGAAAATCTTGATCAACCGTGGTACGAATTCTTTACTGCACGTTGAGTAAAAGTTACCAGGAGATACTTCTATGTTCAAAAAATTATGACTGGGCTTTTATTAAATTTACTTTAATTATAGAAAATTAAACAACTTTATCAAAATTACACCCTTTTAGATAATTATATATCCAAACATGATTTTGATTTTGATGAATACAATCTAAACAAATTTAACTTTCTCATTAATCACATATAAAAAAGTATTCAAACAAAAATCAAAACTTATGAACATCACTTTCGATTAATCTCACTTATTAAAATC